CTTGCCTATACATCTCCAGTTTGTGTCCCTTGATTACAGTTAAGATCTGTCCTTAAAATACAATGGCTCTGCAAATTCCTCTAATGTAGTAATTCTTAATTCACAGATCAAAGACCCCAGGAGAAACAGGAAGGGGTTTAGAGATTGTGATGTTTCCCTCGGGGTGGTTGTCCCCATTGACTTGGGATTCCCTGCCTTCATCCTAAAGAGCCTGTGCTGGAGGGGGAGTGTTGCTTGGCATCCCTCATCATGAAAGGGACACTTCCACTGGTTGAGAATCCCTGTGATGATGGATCGTGTTAAGTCACAAAGGACACCCTTTGCCGGGAAGCTGCCTGGTTCTGGCCTGAGACCCAGGCAAATTGTGTACCTTTAGGTACCCTCATCCCAGCCAAGATGCATCAACCACCCGGGAGCTTCTGTATTTAATGTTTTTACGCTTTTTCTTTTTAACAGTTTGCAGAAGTCATTTACCTTAAGTCTAGTTCTAAGGTATAGTGGTCAAGAGCATAGCCTGTCAACACCTGGATTCAAATCCCAGTTCTGCCTGGTGCTAGCTTCATGGCCAAGTTATTTAACTGTTTTGAGCTTAATTCTCTCACATGTAATTAGGAATAATAATAACCCCAAAGTTATTAATAATGCTCACAGAGTTGTTGTCAGGATTCAATGAGATAGTCCATGTGAAGCATGTCATATGTGCATGGCACACAGAAATCATGAGTGTTGGCTGAATTGTCATTGGATAAGTGTAATCATGAGTGATTCTCTAAACAATCCAGCAAGGTAGGTACTGCATATTAAGAAAAATGAGGCTCAGAGCATGCTCTCCCCAGTAATCATTGGCTCAAGGCCAATTGCCATAATATGATTCTGGAAAGAGACTCCTGCTGGAAAAGCCAAGGCAGGTATTTTCCAATAAGCTAGAAGGAGCAGAAAGAGCCAAGGTCAGAGACCAGCCGAGTTACAGCATTTGAAAGGTGTAAGTTAGTGAATGTAAAACTGAAGGAGTTTGAATTTATGCTCAAGGGAGTTAGTGGCTAGAGATGAGGACATCGTTGTGCCAACTTAAAAGGACATTCCAGCGCTCTGTGGTTTGGGCTAGCATGTGTGAAGGGACACCTTAGTGCCTACATCTAGCTTCTCCACAGCCAGGGCTGAGGGTAGGTGGCTCCAGGAGTAACTCCCCATGACTACATACTGTTCATCCCAGCTCAAGGCTGGAAGTTCCTCTTCCTGCTACCTGAATGAGGATCGAACCAGCCTTCTGTAGTATTGTGTGGTGTTCCCGTTATCTATTGCTGCTTAACAAACCACTCCGAAACTTAGTGACATAGGAGGACATCCATTTCATTATGTTTATGATTCTGTGAGTTAGGGATTTGGGCAGAATACTGTAGTTCTGCTCTTCTCTTCTGCTTAGCAGTATCTGGGGCCTCCACTGAGGTGGCTTGGATGGGACAGCTCTATTGGGGCATCTGTCTGGGGTCTTGGGCCCTGTCTCTGTGGCATCTCCTAGGGATTGAATGTCCAGTATGACTCCTTCACTGTGTATCTGGAAGCTAGGCTGGGATGACTGCAACTGCTGTTTCTTTCCAGGCAGCCTCTGCCTTTGACCAGCTTGGACATTCACATAGCATGCTGACCTGGGGGTGGTCAGATGTTTTACACATGGCTAGTTTCCCTCAGAGCAAATGTTCCAAGAGGCCTGGGTAGAAACTGTAAGGCTCCTCGTGACTGAATCTCAGAGGTCCCCCTGTGTGTGACTTCTTCCACATTCTGCTAGTTGGGAAAATCAGTAAAGTCAATCTAGATTTAAGGAGGCAGAGAAACAGACTCACCCTCTTAGGAGAAGGTCATGGCATGTACACAGAGGAGAGGAACTGATGGCAGCCATTCTGGAGACAAACCACCACACATGGGTAGGGTTAAGAATATGGGCTTTGAGTCACAAATATTGGTTCCTATCACAACTCTGTAACTTTCTAGCTCTGTGATGTCAGGCAAGTTACTTAACCTCTCTAAGCCTCAATTTCCTTACCTGTAAAATAAGGATAATGATATTTTGCAATAACTGTGATAATACTTAAATGAGATAAATCTAGTGCTTGGCACAGTTGATTCCTAACACCTGTAAAGTCCTCACTTAATAGTAGCTATGCTGCCTATAATAATACCATATTATAGTGTAACTTTAGTGTAACTATAGTAGTGCTATTTCTCTGATTTGTCCTTTGGATATTCATTCATTCATTCAGCAAGCATTTACTGAGTGCCTGTGGTATGCCAGGCACAGTTTCAGGCACTGGCCTCCCCAACAGTTGCAAAGATAATAATACATTGAAAACAGAGAGTAATTGGGTTGTCAGGTGTTTTGAGCAGCATCGCTGGCTCTTCAGTGCCAGCCAGCATTGCTGGGGTTGGCAAGCCTGGCTTGAAGGAGGAAGCAAGGGATGGCCACCTAAGCCTTTCTGATATTGCAGTATTAATGGCTGCATTATTCTGAATGCTGAAGTATTCTGGCTTCGTCCTAATAGAGACTCCTACTCCCACAGTAACTCTCCTCTGCCATTTAAATAGTGGGAATGTTACTAAGGAGAGGCAGGAGATATGAACCTTCCTCTCCATTCAAACATGTGCCTGCAGATCCCATCTGATGAGTGTCTGTTCCCTTCAGGGGCCCTGGAATGTCAGTAACATGGCACTCAGCATTCAGAAGCCCCATCAGAACCACTGCTCCTCTGTCTCATGCCCATGGACCCTTCTTGGCTTCCATAATCACCACCTCAAACATTGAAGTGATAGAAAAGATAGGAAAGGTAACAGTGTCCAACTCTTTACATAATCATAGGAGAATAACTCAGTAAAGCATTCTAAAATGAAATGAAAAGCAAGATGTCAAGAGAATGCAAGCCAAATCAGGAGAGGCCATTTGGCACAGTCTGGTCTCTGTGTCTTATTTGAGCAGTTTCCTAACACCAGGAACTAATTAAAAATGAAAAGGCAGGGCTTCTAACCCAGTACCTTTCAAAATCTTTAGGCTTCCCATAATAGTCATGTGAAAAATCTCACTTGCTCAAATGAGCATCTTCAACTTTGATTTGAAGACACTGGAGCTTTAAGTAAATCTCACTTTCAGGAATTTGTTTTTAGGTTAATGATAAAGGAATTCACACTCATTAAGCTCCACTGTTCCAGGACCTAAAAGCTGAACATTATAGAATTGCTGAATCTGCCATCTTTCCCTTAGTCCATTTGCCCACCCAGAGCATGAATATGTGCTACATGGCCCTGACAGATGGACATCAACCATCTCCACAGTCGTGCTGAACAAGACCAAGAGCCTGTGACTTCACATGGAGACTGCAGAAATCAGAAACCCCAGTCTGCCTTTCAGAGGGGTCCCATCTGCACACAAGGAGGCAAGGCTGACGATGACATGAGTGCCAAGTGTAGGCAGACGAAGGGTTCAGCCCTCTTTGTACAATGATGGCCGGAGCTGTCTGCCAGCCCTCCTCCACTATCATTTGTTGGTGCACTGCTAATTTACTAGTCTGACTCATCCTTGGAGGCAAACACGGGATCAGTGTTCATTGCAGGAAGTGCTCAGTTGGCTGTGTGAGGTTCAGTGTCTCCAGCAAGCACACGTCTGTCTTGTGGGGCCATCATTTCATAACATGTCACTCGAAGAAGAAGACACCGCTTCTGTCAAAACAGTTTTCAAGCCTGGAGGCATTCTCCCTACTTGGGTCCAAGACCACAACAGTCTGGCATTGATCTGAAACCTGGTCTGTCCAGAAATCCACAGGCTTCTTTCACATGGCCTCTGAAGGCTATCCTGTATCTCCTTCACCATCTTCAAGGGGGAATAGTCCCAAACAGTTCTCCCCAGAATCATGGGGATTGAGCTGTTCCATGTGCTTGACTAGAGGGGCTAGAGATGGACACAGTTGCAAAAGCAGCATAAGCAGAATGCCATTTCTGTGTTTTGAGAAACCATGAATACACATTCCAGGGACACTGATCAAAATGAAAACTTGGGACAAACCATGCCTGCTCTCTGCTTGTGCAGTGATTTTAAGAAAGCTCTCTATGACTGATAGGCATCTACCTCTTCGGTGCACTTGTGACCTCAGGGGTGTTGTCGAGACCCTGTCTCCTTGGGGTCACACAACATCATGTTTTCTTAGTGAGAGAAGATGGGGTGGAGCTGTGCTGGGAAGAGAAGGTAGAAATCGAAGATACGTATCGGGAGAAGAGAAAAGAAAGCTAGAAGTCATCTTGAAGGAACCTTTCTCCCAGGCACTGCTTGGCATGGCATTCAGGCCTGACACAGTCTCCTGTCTCTTGCTGATTTGATGATAAAATATGGAGTGGACCCACAGGGAGAGCAAGCGCCTCAAGAAATAGATGGATAATTGGCTCTGTTTGCATGCTGGCTGCTGTAACTGTGAGACGCCACACCAGCATGACTAATGCCTCTCCCCTCTGCCTAAATTAGATTTTGATTGTGCTTTAGAGATGTTCACTGAATCACAGATGTTTGAGGTAAAAAGACCCAAACTTCTCAGGAACACCTCCTGTGGAGTGTGTGGGCTAGTCCTCACAGGCACAGCTGAGGCGCTCCCAGAACTAAGATGAAGGACCAGAGTAACCCCTTATCTTCCAAGGCCTGGGAGCAAACCAGCTGCCCATGAGGAGGCTCAGAATGGAGTAGGTTCCTGGGGCCAGTGGGTGGGGGCCTGCTCCCTCTGGGGTGAAGTTGGGGGTCGGCTCCTTAGCATGGCTGAAAGAGAGGCATCTCATTGCTGATTAATGACATATAGACTCCAAATTGGACCTAGAGTCTCCTGTTTTTCACAGATTTCCACTGACTCACTGCCACAATAGGTAGAGTAGTTCAAGGTCCTTGCTAGTTCACCTCCCACAGTGCTCCTCAGCCACTCAACTTGGCCACCCTGTAGTACAACCTAATAAACACTTTCTCTTTACTCTTGCAGAATTTAGCCTACGAAATCATCCTAACACTGGGACAGGCATTTGAAGTCGCTTACCAGCTTGCACTACAAGCAAGAAAAGGGGGGCATTCCTCTACACTTCCGGAAAGCTTTGAAAACAAACCCTCCAAACCCATCCCCAAGCCCCGTGTCAGCATTCGCAAATCGGTGGTAAGTAGAAAAGATAACAGATGTTCTGAAAATCTTGAGCTAGAGGGAAAGGAGGTTGCTAAGTGGGCCCTGAGTGGTGTAGGACCTGCATTTCTGTCTCCCTTGGCCTCCTCCTGGCATGCATCCTTCATCCTCCCAGCCTGGTTCCTGCAAAGTCTTGGGGGACTGTCTGCCTGAACCTAGAGGCTCCCAAGAAAATTCCACTCTGTCACCTGTGGCAGCCCTGTGAGGGGGGTACTGGGTGTTGCTGCTTCCTTGACGAACCTTTCCTAAAGGTCCAGTAAAGCTTGGGAATGATGTTCCCTGAGGCTCCACTACCATCACAACAGGGGCCAGAGCCTCTTGCAAGCCACTGGCCCTTGGAGAGGTTGGCAGAGGTTCACAGCAAGGTGTCCCGGGTACCCAGCTAAAGGAAGCTAGGTGCACAGGCTGTACGTGCATCACAGCAGAGCAGCCCTCTTCCCCTTCACTGGAGGCCTAGATGCCAGCTTTAGGCAGGCTTTCTCGCAGCAGCTGAGACTTCCTACAGAGTGGTGACTCTTCAGAAGGTGCAGCCCCTCCTTCCTCCTCGTCCTCTGCCTTCCTCCAGGAATTTCCTCCCCCTCCCTCCCACAAGCTCTGTAGACATCCTGTCCTAACAGACTTTTCATGACTTCAAAGCGACCTCCGCTGGTAGTAGCAATACCCAGAAGCTGGAGCATTCCCAACCAGCCTCCCATCTGGCTTCTGCTCCAACTGCCTTATGGCATCCTAGCAACTCTGTGGCATGGGGCAGGCAGGCGCCCCCAGATGCCCTGCTCTCATATCCATATTATCCCTCTAACTCTCTTCTCCCTACCATCTCTGCCCAAGGGGTCACAGGGAAAGTGTAGAATCTTGAAGCTCCTCCCTTTGTGACCATGTGGCTTCTTGTTTATAATCTTCTTTTGGGCCTCTACTCCTGTCACCATTCTTGGCAGCTTCAGCATCCATGGAGACAATCCCTCCAACATCTGGCCTCTCTCCTTGAGGGCTCACTGCCACTCCACCCCAGCCATTAGCTCCCATGCTTATCCTTCATCTGAACATCACCAGTTACTGCATGTCCTCTGAAAATCTTCCCTTCAAACACCATGGTCAAAACAAACAAACACACACACACACACACACACACACACACACACACACACCATGTTCTCCCTACCTCTGCACCTACCCAGCCCCACTGGCTCCCAATCCTGATGCACTCCCACAAATCCAGATTTGTATGTTCAATTTCTTCTTTAATATGTAACAGACATCTGAAACTTAGCATGTCCAGAAATAATTATTTTCATTTTAATTCCAGTATAATTAACATACAGTGTTATATTAGTTTCAGGAGTATAGTGTAGTGATTCAACAATTCTGTACACTACTCAGTGCTCATTCAAATACTCCTAATCCCCTTCACCTATTCTCCCCATCTCCCCCCCCCCCCCCCCCCCCCCCCCCCCCCCCCCCCCCCCCCCCAATCCAACTGCCCCTCTGGCAGCCATCAGTTTGTTCTCTATAGTTAAGAGTCTGGTTTTTTTCTTTGTTCATTTGTTTTGTTTCTTAAATTCCACGAGTGAAATCATACGGTATTTGTATTTCTCTGACTTATTTCACTTAACTTTATACAATATTTATTAGTGTTTATTTTTAAGAGACAGGGTGTGAGCAGGGGAGGGGCAGAGAGAGAGGGAGACACAGAATCCGAAGCAGGCTCCAGACTCCAAGCTTTCAGCACAGAGCCTGACGCGGGGCTCAAACTCACGAACTGTGAGATCATGACCTGAGCCGAAGTAGGATGCTCAACCGACTGAGACACCCAGGCGCCCCTCTACCCTTTAGATCTATCTATGTTGTTGCAAATAGCAAGATTTCATTATTTTTTATGACTAATATCCCACTGTGTATATATACCACTTTTTCTTTATTCATTCATCCATCAGTGGACACTTGGGTTGCTTCCATAATTTGGCTACTGTAAGTAATGCTGCAATATATATAGGGGTGCATGTATCTTTTCATGTGTCTGTTGGCCATCATGTCTTCTTTGAAGAAATGTCTGTTCATGTTTTCTGCCCATTTTAAATTGTATTTTTGGTTGTTTTGTGTCGAGTTGTGTAAGTTCTTTATATATTTTGGACACTAACCCCTTATCAGATAGGTCATTTGCAAATATCTTTTCCCATTCAGTAGGTTGCCTTTTAATTTTGTGAATTGCTTTCTTTGCTATGCAGAAGGTTTTTATTTTTATATACCCCCAATAGTATATTTATGCTTTTGTTTCTCTTGCCTCAGGAGACATCTAGAAAAATGCTGCTCTGGCTGCTGTCAGAGAATTACTGCCTGTGCTCTCTTCTAGGATTTTTATGGTTTCAGGTCTCACATCTATGTCTTTAATCCATTTTGACTTTATTTTTGTGTATATATAAGAAAGTGGGCCACTTTGATTCTTTTGCATGTAGCTGTCCAGTTTTCACAGCACCATTTTTTGAAGAGATTCTTTTCCACATTGCATATTCTTGCTTCCTTTATTGAAGATTAATAGATCATATCATGGGTTTATTTATAGTCTCCCTCTTGTGTTCCATTGATCTATGTATCTCTGTTTGTGCCAGTACCATACTGTTTTGATTACTACAGCTTTGTAGTATACCTTGAAATTTGGGATTGTGATACCTCCAGTTTTGTTCTTTTTCAAGATTGCTTTGGCTATTCAGGGTCTTTTTTGGTTCCATAGAAATTTTAGGATTATTTCTTCTAGTTCTGTGAAAAATGCTCTTGGCATTTTGATAGAGATTGCATTAAATCTACAGATTATTTTAGGCAGTGGAAACTCCCAGTCTGTGAGCATGGAGTACCTTGCCATTTGTTTATGTCATCTTCAATTTCTTTCATTAGTGTTTTATAGTTCAGGGTATAGATCTTTCACCTACTTGGCTAAGTTTATTATTAGGTATTTTATTATTTTTGGTGCAATTTTAAGTGGGGGTGTTTTCTTAATTTATCTTTCTGCTACTTCATTATTAGTGTATAGAAACGCAGTGGTTTTTTGTATATGGATTTTATTAGTTCTGGTTTTTTGGTGGAGACTTTAGGGTTTTCTATACATGGTATAATGTCATCTGCAAAAAATGAGTGTTACTTCTTCCATACCAACTTGGATGCCTTTCATTTCTCTTTCTTGTCTGATTGCTCTGAGGCTAAGACTTCCAGTACTGGAATAAAAGTGGTGAGAGTGGACATGCTTATCATTCCTCATCTTAGGGTAATAGCTCTGTTTTTCAACGTTGAGTATGATGTTAGCTGTGGGTTTTTCATGTATGGCCTTTATTTTGTTGAGGTATAGTCCCTCTAAAACCTACATTGTTCAGAGTTTTTATAATGAATATTGATTTTGCACTTTGTTAGATGCTTTTTCTGCATCTGTTGAGATGATCATATGGTTTTTATCCTTTCTCTTGTTGATGTAATGTATCATGTTGATTGATATACAAACATTGAAACATCCTTGCATCCCGGGGGAAAAAGTACCACTTGATTGTGGTGAGTGATTTTTTTAAATGTATTATTGAATTCAGTTTGCCAATATCTTGTTCTCGACTTTTTTATCAATGTTCATTATATTGGCCTGTAGGTCTCTTTTTTTATAGTGTCTTTTGGTTTTGGGATCAGCATAATGCAGGTTTCAGAGAATGGATTTGGAAACTTTCCTTCCTCTTCTATTCTTCAGAAAGGTTTAAGAATTGGTAACTAATTCTTCTTTAAATGTTTGGTAGAATTCACCTGTGAAGGTGTCTGGTACTGGACTTTGTTGGGAGTTTTTTGATTACTGATTCAATTTCATTGGTGGTAATTGGTCTGTTCAAATTTTCTGTTTCTTCCTGATTCAGTTTTGGGAGATTATATGTTTCTAGGAATTTATCAATTTCTTCTAGGTTGGCATATAATTTTGTTGGCATATAGTTTTTCATAATATTCTCTTACAATTCTTGTTTATCTCTGTGGTATCCATTGTTATTTCTCCTCTTTCATTTTTTATTTTGAGTCCTCTCTCTTTATTTTTTATTTTTGATGTGTCTGGCTAGAGGCTTATCAATTTTCTTGATCTTTTCAAAGAACTAGCTCCTGGTTTTATTCATCTGCTCTGTTGGTGTGTTAATTTTCTATCTCATTTATTTCTGCTCTCTTTATTATTTCCTTCCTGCTACTGGTTTTAGGTTTTGTTTGTTCTTCTTTTTCAAGCTCCTTTAGGTGTAAGGTTACATTGTTTAGTTGAAATTTTTCTTGCCTCTTGAGTTAGGTCTGTATTTGCTATAAACTTCCCTCTTAGAACAGCTTTTGGTGCATCCCAAAGATTTAGAACCACTGTATTTTCATTTTCATATGTATTTTTTTATTTCCTCTTTGACTTCTTGATTGACCCATTCATTATTTAATACCATGTTATTTAACCTCCACATATTTGTGTTCTTTCCAGACTTTTTTTCTTGTGGTTGATTTCTAGTTTCATAGTGCTGTGGTTGGAGAAGATGCATGGTATGACTTCAGTATTTTTTAATTTGTTAAGACTTATCTTGTGGCCTAATATGATCTATTCTGGAAAATGTTCATGTGCACTTGAAAAGAATGTGTATTCTGCTGTTTTAGGATGGAATGTTCTGTATATATCTGTTAAGTCCATCTAGTAAAACCGTTTCCTTATTGATTTTGTTTGGGTGAACCATCCATTGATGTAAGTGAAGCATTAAAGTCCCCTACTACTATTGTATTACTATCATTATGTCCTTTATGTCTGTTATGAGCTTTTATGTTTTTGGGTGCTTCCATGTTGGGTGCATAAATATTTACAATTGTTATATCTTCTTGTTGGAGTGTTCCCTTTATGATTATATAGTGTCTCTTGTTACAGTATGTTTTGAGTCTAATTTGTCTGATATAAGTATTGCCACCTCAGCTTTCTTTTCACTTCCATTTGCATGATAAATGCT